TTTTTTGCCTACTTTTTTCCCAAAAAAATTACAATCTACGACCCGTTTTTAGCCATTTTCTGATTTTCACCACTATAGGGGTGGCAAATAGGGGTGAGACCGAGAGTTTTCAACTATTGGGTTTTGAGGGGGAAGAAAAAAGAAAATTTTTCGCCTACTTTTTACCCAAAAAAATTACAATCTAAGACCCGTTTTTGGCCATTTTTTGATTTTCACCACTATAGGGGTGGCAAATAGGGGTGAGACCGAGAGTTTTCAACTATTGGGTTTTGAGGGGGAAGAAAAAAGAAAATTTTTCGCCTACTTTTTACCCAAAAAAATTACAATCTAAGACCCGTTTTTGGCCATTTTTTGATTTTCACCACTATAGGGGTGGCAAATAGGGGTGAGACCGAGAGTTCTCAACTATTGGGTTTTCAAGGGGAAGGAAAAAGAAAATTTTTTGCCTACTTTTTTCCCAAAAAAATTACAATCTACGACCCGTTTTTAGCCATTTTCTGATTTTCACCACTATAGGGGTGGCAAATAGGGGTGAGACCGAGAGTTTTCAACTATTGGGTTTTGAGGGGGAAGAAAAAAGAAAATTTTTCGCCTACTTTTTACCCAAAAAAATTACAATCTAAGACCCGTTTTTGGCCATTTTTTGATTTTCACCACTATAGGGGTGGCAAATAGGGGTGAGACCGAGAGTTCTCAACTATTGGGTTTTCAAGGGGAAGGAAAAAGAAAATTTTTCGCCTACTTTTTACCCAAAAAAATTACAATCTAAGACCCGTTTTTGGCCATTTTTTGATTTTCACCACTATAGGGGTGGCAAATAGGGGTGAGACCGAGAGTTCTCAACTATTGGGTTTTCAAGGGGAAGGAAAAAGAAAATTTTTTGCCTACTTTTTTCCCAAAAAAATTACAATCTACGACCCGTTTTTAGCCATTTTCTGATTTTCACCACTATAGGGGTGGCAAATAGGGGTGAGACCGAGAGTTTTCAACTATTGGGTTTTGAGGGGGAAGAAAAAAGAAAATTTTTCGCCTACTTTTTACCCAAAAAAATTACAATCTAAGACCCGTTTTTGGCCATTTTTTGATTTTCACCACTATAGGGGTGGCAAATAGGGGTGAGACCGAGAGTTCTCAACTATTGGGTTTTCAAGGGGAAGGAAAAAGAAAATTTTTCGCCTACTTTTTACCCAAAAAAATTACAATCTAAGACCCGTTTTTGGCCATTTTTTGATTTTCACCACTATAGGGGTGGCAAATAGGGGTGAGACCGAGAGTTCTCAACTATTGGGTTTTCAAGGGGAAGGAAAAAGAAAATTTTTTGCCTACTTTTTTCCCAAAAAAATTACAATCTACGACCCGTTTTTAGCCATTTTCTGATTTTCACCACTATAGGGGTGGCAAATAGGGGTGAGACCGAGAGTTTTCAACTATTGGGTTTTGAGGGGGAAGAAAAAAGAAAATTTTTCGCCTACTTTTTACCCAAAAAAATTACAATCTAAGACCCGTTTTTGGCCATTTTTTGATTTTCACCACTATAGGGGTGGCAAATAGGGGTGAGACCGAGAGTTCTCAACTATTGGGTTTTCAAGGGGAAGGAAAAAGAAAATTTTTTGCCTACTTTTTTCCCAAAAAAATTACAATCTACGACCCGTTTTTAGCCATTTTCTGATTTTCACCACTATAGGGGTGGCAAATAGGGGTGAGACCGAGAGTTTTCAACTATTGGGTTTTGAGGGGGAAGAAAAAAGAAAATTTTTCGCCTACTTTTTACCCAAAAAAATTACAATCTAAGACCCGTTTTTGGCCATTTTTTGATTTTCACCACTATAGGGGTGGCAAATAGGGGTGAGACCGAGAGTTCTCAACTATTGGGTTTTCAAGGGGAAGGAAAAAGAAAATTTTTCGCCTACTTTTTACCCAAAAAAATTACAATCTAAGACCCGTTTTTGGCCATTTTTTGATTTTCACCACTATAGGGGTGGCAAATAGGGGTGAGACCGAGAGTTTTCAACTATTGGGTTTTGAGGGGGAAGAAAAAAGAAAATTTTTCGCCTACTTTTTACCCAAAAAAATTACAATCTAAGACCCGTTTTTGGCCATTTTTTGATTTTCACCACTATAGGGGTGGCAAATAGGGGTGAGACCGAGAGTTCTCAACTATTGGGTTTTCAAGGGGAAGGAAAAAGAAAATTTTTTGCCTACTTTTTTCCCAAAAAAATTACAATCTACGACCCGTTTTTAGCCATTTTCTGATTTTCACCACTATAGGGGTGGCAAATAGGGGTGAGACCGAGAGTTTTCAACTATTGGGTTTTGAGGGGGAAGAAAAAAGAAAATTTTTCGCCTACTTTTTACCCAAAAAAATTACAATCTAAGACCCGTTTTTGGCGATTTTCTAATTTTCACCACTATAGGGGTGGCAAATAGGGGTGAGACCGAGAGTTCTCAACTATTGGGTTTTTAAGGGGAAGTAAAAAGAAAATTTTTCGCCTACTTTTTTCCCAAAAAAATTACAATCTAAGACTCGATTTTGTTCTTTTAATTCTGTGAACAACTCTAATTTGAAAGTAGGGGTTGTTTTGCACCCTTAATTATTAAATTTTTAGTTTTTTATGTTGAATATTGTTGTATTTTGGTTGTCTGAGAACCATTAGCAAGAAATTATTTTTTTTTGTCAAAATTTTTTTTCGCGCGAACGCGCGTGCCGAACTTTAGGCTCATCCTTGTGTCTGTTTAACGCCATATATATTTCTTTGGCCAAGTTCCGAATTTCGATGCCAAACTTGATACTATAGTCAGCTGCTTCGCTTTTTGTTACCATGATACCATTTATTTTGTTCGGGTGCGTTGAGAGTGAGTGAGAGAGATACAATATTCTAACAAGAGAATATCTGCCAGTGGCAGAAATTTTCGAAAGCTCCATCCTCTCTATATTATATATATATATGTTTATATGCTGGCTCCCCAAACCACTATTCTGTCATTTGCCGACTCAAGTTGGCGCCACCCTGGCTGCTACGAGACTACTTATTATCTCTCAGATGATATAGCATCGTTATACACACGCGCTTGATAATCGAGATCCGCAACTTCATATCGTTCCACGTTGCAAAGCGCGCACACAAACCTTTGTCAATTTTCCCTCTACTGTATAATTTATCTCAAGAATATCTTCATTTTATGCGCGCGAAATTTACGCAGGGAATTGCAAAAATCTAAAAGTTAAAATCAAAATTTCCAAAAAATATTCACATTTAAGCATTTTTAGAGTCAGACAGAATAATATGTAAATTTATTTTCTATTGAGACATCTGTTAATTATATTACACGGAAAAAAAGCAATTGCTTACAGATCCTAACTGCTGTTTGCTATCAGATCTATCAAAATTAGTAACCACAGCTAAATTCTTTGCTATGACAACGAAAAAGTTTGCTATGATAAACAATGTCAGTCTTAATTTTTAAAAATTTACTGTCACAACAAATTTTTTCGCTGTCCCTATAATTATTAGTTAACGTAATTTGATGTGACAGCAAATAATCCGCTGGCACAGCAAATTTTTTCTATGCGTGTACATCAATTACGGCGCGTTTATAAAAAATAACTGTCCAATTAATTGTTTTTTTTTAATTTTCGTTCATATTTTCAGTTGAAAAAATTATCTTAAAACAAAACAATTTTTTTTCAGAATTTATTTTATTCTACTTTATTTTTATTAAAATTTTTATCATGTGAAAAAAAATAATAATAATAGAGCGAAGGCAATACATTATTTTTTCGTAGTAAAATAATAAAATGTTTAAAACTATGTCGGAAAGAAAGTAACACACTGGTATTAACTATCGATTAAAATATTTATTTCTCCTTTTATAAAACGTTTGAACGTAAAATGAAACTTTATGGTCAGTCAGTGGACCAGTAAAAATTGTGGGTCATCTCTTTTTATAGATGAAACATACTTTTTTTTATGAAGTAATAATTGAACCATCTAATTCAAATTTAAATAATCTATATTTTGCAAATTATTCATAGTAATATTTAAAAACTTTTAAATAAATTATATATGATTTAAAAAATTTTTTTTCTTCTAAATGCACTGATTTATGTTAAGTTTTTTTTACACACATTATAATTATTATTAATTATAATCAAAAAAAAAAATAATTTTTAAAAATATCAGAAACAATAGAATAATTTGAATAATAAAAATTATTAAAATCATAAAAAAAAGTAAATATAAATGAAGAATAAAATTATTATTTATAAAACGACTTTCTTTTTATCGTATTTAAATTGTTTTTGTCAGTGATTTGTTTTTCAATTTGCGCGCATAATTTAAAGGTACGGCCTTACTTTTTTTTTTATAGATAATATATAATGAGTAAAAATAAAAAAAAAATTGATGATGATAATACCCTTTGTCCGTCCCATTAGCGGAACTAAAACGTATACTAGTTGTATGAAATGCTGCAGGCTACCGCGATAAAATCTTATTGCCTTATAGTGCAAAAGAGGAAACTATAGTAGCAAATACTCTGATAACACACGTGGAACTAAAAGTGAACAACAGCTGAAAAAAGAAGGAAAAACATCTTTCTGTTTCTCTGTATATATATATATATATATATATATATATTTTGCTTACTTTTCCCAGTTGGATTTTTGTCACCGATCGCGAACAAAAAGTCATTTGAAATACTACAGACAGATAAAAAGCATTACTTGTCAAAACTTTTATTTTCATTTATTTTTAACTCTTTCTTGTCTTAAAATTTTGAACCCAAAAAAAACCTTTTTTCATATTACTATTTTTAATATTTAATATTAAAATAAAACTTTTAAATTAAATTTTTTTTTTACTAAACTTTTTTTAAAGGATTTAAGTATATGGGTGAATAAATAATTTGAATAAAAAATTTCATTTTTATTCAATATACACACACATATTATTTTGTATATATATATTATATTTTACAAAATTTATAACTTTATGTTGCAGGCCTCATTTTATTCGACTGCACTGAAAACCCTGATCTCTGTGTCGACTGTGATACTGCTTGGCCTCATATTTGCTTATCATGCTTTAGAAGTTCAGGTGCGTATAATAAAATTTCTCACATTAAACCATATCTTATATTTAAAATATATAACATAAAACTATATTGATAAAGAGTAAAATAAAAATTTACTCTATATTAAATTTCACTTAAAAATAATATTTACGTAGATTAAGATTCAGATTTAATTATATTAATAATTATATTTTGTGTTTAAAATTTGTTTCTTATTTCAAAATTTAAATTACACATACAAAACTTTCAGTAGTCAAAACGAATTTGATGATTTTTTAAAAATTTTTGGTTCATTAAATGCATCAATTGTCAGATTTACAATTTTCAAAATGGCGGATTCAATATGGCAAATTTTTTAAATTAATTAATTTAGTTTAAATTAATTAATTTTGGACTTTAGATTCGTAATCAGCGACCCCAAAAACCCATCGAGTAACAATTTTGAAGCAAATCTTAATGATTTAAATGATTTTTGAAAAATCAACTGCCATATTGGATCCGCCATTTTGAACATTGTAAATCTGACTCTTATTTCTTATCAACGATCATAAATACATGAAAATTTGTAGGTTTAGAAATAATTTATGGGTTTTTAAGATTTTTATCGACGATATTGTTGAATGATTTTTTATTTTTGGACATTGTATCTAATACATAGGGCCGCCATTTTGATTCAAATAACACAGGCACACAAAAAAAAAGGAAGTCAGGTCCCAAAAAACACAACCCCATATTCCTATGTTTTTGGGGTCGCTGAAACCGAATATGACCATGAAAAATTTTTTTGCCCACCCATTTTCCCGCAACCACCCCCTTGCACCTACTCACGGGGGTTGGAGTTTCAAATTAAAAAAAAAGTCGAGTAGGGTATCTATTCCAATGTTTTTTGGGTCGCTTAATCCGAAAACACCACTGAAAACAAATCCTTCCTTCCCTTAACCCCGCTCTCTAAATTTGAATCAGCTAAAATCCGCTGATTGGCAGCGAATAGTCGCTGATTGAAAAAGCTATAAGTATGCAGCTGCGAATCAGCGACTAACAACTATTTCAATCAGCGGAATACTCCATTTTAAAATAAATTTATCTTCCGACGAAAATGACTGACGTTCGCCGATTCGTGTTTCGCTATTTTATTAGCTGTAACCGCTGATTTGCAGTGAAAACTTTATTCGCTGATTCAAACAGTGAAATTTTCGCTAATTCAAATTTAGAGAGCGTACAACCCTCTGGGAGGGGTTAATATTTTAAATTTCACAAAAAGTCAAGTTCGGTGTCTAATCTTACGTTTTTTGGGGCGCTGAAACCGAAAAACGCCACCAAAAACAAGTCCTTTCCTCCCTTAACCCCCTACAACGCCCTAAGACGGGGTTGGAATTTCAATTTTTACAAAAAGTCGAGTATGGTATCTATTCTTATGTTTTTTGGACGCTGAAATCAAAAAACACCACCAAAAACAAATTCTTTACCCCCTTAACCCCCTACAACCCCTGGGAGGGGGTTGGAATTTCATTTTTCACGAAAAGTCGAGTACGGTGTCTAAGCCTATGTTTTTTGGGTCGCTGAAACCAAAAAACATCACCAAAAATAAAGTTTTCTAGGAAGTTACCTATGATTACACAAATACGCACCTATACAAAGTCTTTTATGGAAATTTATTTTTCTACACTTAGCGCCGTGAAAAATGAACCCCTTTCCCAGGGGTTGTAGGGGGTTAAGGGGGTAAAGAATTTGTTTTTGGTGGTGTTTTTTGATTTCAGCGACCAAAAAAACATAGGAATAGATACAGCACGGAAAGAAATTTTTTGTAGAATTTACAAAAACTCCTGCGCCATCTACTGATGGAAATTGTTGTTTCTCCAAATAGAGAAATTTGTAGAATCATTGGCATTAAAATCTGTTAATTCTACAAGTTTGAGCTACAGTTCTTAAAAACTGTTGAGTGACCAAATTATGTATAGTATATGGGGATAATATAAAGGTACCTAAGAAGGCAAAAATCGATTTTCGGATTATGATTGTTTTCGATAAACTAAAGATTGCTTTTCAATTATCTGAAGTCAAAATTAATTTTTATCTAATACTTTTCTTGTAATAACGATTTAAAGATGAACAATTCGTGCTAAGAGTTGATTCTCTTTTTCCTCACGCACACATATCTACGCTCCCCTCTCACTGTAACCATGCGCCACTTGAAGTTCGGGTCGGTATTCGTGATTTAGAGAGAGATGCGCTGACTTCACCGTTCTCTCTCACTACGAAAGCACGTGAACGAGGTGCATCTCTCTTTACTTGCCGAAGACGGCCGAATACACAGACGCTAACTCGAATTAGTAGTGGGAAACGAGAGAGAGTAAGAGATATCGGAAATTCTGCGCCGCGTTCTAGCTTGTTCTTTTCCCTCTCCTGTAAAATTGCCGTTTGGCTTCTTAGGTACCTTTCTTCGCGTCGCGTCACATATATTTGGTAGAGTATTTCTTATAGGTTATATTCTCCTCCGAATACATTAAATTCGCGGAACATTATTGTATAAATTCACAGTTTTCCTAAAAGTATCAAATTGAGACGAAAAATTGCATCAAATTTTTTCTGAATCGTTTTTATAAAAAGCAAAACTGCCATCTACCTTCTAAAAAGCTAGGCTATATTGATTTTATCGACAAATTTTTTCTCATGCATTTTAGGTTATGTTTATAAGCTGTCACTTTTTAATTATCGAATTGCACATTGTCTTTGATTTTCTGTTATTTTCATTTTCAAATAAAATAGTGAAATGGTCTCCGCAATTGTACTATTACCAAAATATCTGAAAAAATTCGTTTAATTTTGAGTCGATTCAATTCGGCCATGATTGATATAAATTGATTAAATTTTTTGCATCAAAAAATGAGACCGTTTCGTGTATCATTTCTAAAAATGATACACAAAACGATCTCTTTTTGATATAACTTATGTGCATCAAAACGTTGCAATAGAAAAAGATACAATCAAGTTTACTGTGAATTAGTATAACTTCTATGTAAATAAATTCATCCTTCAATAATTTTCTAACAAAAAAAATGAGGAGCAAGTTTTCAAAACTTATGATAAATTCACTTTTTCTTATGTCGAGAAATTGAAACAAACGACTTTTCTCACTTAATCACTACAGTTAATTTTAAAATAAAAAATTTGTAATAATTTATTTCTATAATAATGTTTATATACTTAAGACGTTTCCTTTTTAATTAAACTTTCTTGCCGACACTATGGTAATAATAAAAACACTAAATTCGCCTTAACCTCTCGCACTCAATCGTACTCAGCCTTAGTCGAATCACTGCATTGTTTTTGCGCATGCGTTAAATCCTTACAGAAAATATCTGTAGAATTAACAGATTTAGGAACATGTAAAATCTCTAAATCGATGTTAAAGAATTACCAGAAAATGTTTTTCCGTGCGTACTCGACTTTTTGTAAAAATTGAAATTTCAACCCCTTCTCAGGGGGTTGTAGGAGGTTAAGAGAGGAAAGGACTTGTTTTTGGTGGCGTTTTTTGGTTTTAGCGCCCCCAAAAACGTAAGATTAGACACCGAACTTGACTTTTTGTGAAATTTAAAATTTAAAAATTTTTTAAATTTATTTATTTATTTAATTCAATTATTTGATTTCAAAAATTATTTGTCTCATGTAAATATTTATTTGATATTTGATAATAGTCAAGTAACCAATTATTTAAATTAATTACATTTTTTTCCAGTGTATACTGAAAATAGTTACTTTTAATAATAATAATTATATTTAACGTTGCGTTAAGAAAAAATAACTTTATATTTTACTTTGGATAGCAAGTTTTCATAATCTCTGTTTTCGTTGAATTAAAAATTTTCAGAAGCTATTATAAGTTTCTGATTCTCTATCGAGAGAATAAGTAGTCATCCCTATTATCCATAATAATATATATATATAAAATGTGGAAAAGAGCTAAACGAAACTGGTAACATAGAAGTCTTTTGTAGATTTTGAAAACTTTTCTTGGAGTTGATCCGAGACTTTCCATTGTATAAAATCCTGACAGATCCGCACGGAATAGCATTTCTTCTATATATTGTGTCAAAGCCTTTAAGATTTCTAGGAACACTATTTCTTCTTCTCCTTCTTTTGCTTCTTCCTACTCTTCTTTTTTAGACTTTTGGTTATTTTCTTTCTCTCCGTCTTTTTTTTTTTTTGAATTCAATATTTTTCTTTCAGTTTCCTTATCTTTGTCCTGATTATTATTATTTTTTATATATTATTTTAAAAAAAAAGCAACAATATTTTTGGTTGGTATATGAGTCTTTTAATGAACAATAAAGTCGTGAATGAAAATATGGCTTTCCCTTGACAGTATATATTTTGTTAAGAGAGAAAAATTGTATACGAACTTTATGTACTCAGTAAACTCTTTTGTGTATGCGCTCATTACAACATGGCACGTCCTGTATTTGAGCTTCGTATCCAAAATTCACTTCGTCAGCAAGAAGGGATGAGAAGATATATATTCTTCGGATTTTATGATCAGCAAATTTTTCCCTCTGTCTGTAACATGTACTATATATATCCCCAATATTAGCTGCTCAATATTATACAAAAATAAACTTCACGCAAATACTTGTACTCGAAAATTTCTTAAATAGAGGCGCAACGTTCGATAAAGGACCAATTGTTTTTTCGCAAAATCAAACAATTTTCGCAAGATAATTTTTGCAAAAGTATTTATTAATAAATTAAAATTTTTATTAAATTATTAATTAAAAGTAACAATTAATTTTATTAAACAAAATATTAAAATTTTTGCCAAATAAAATATATTCTCTAATTTTTTGAAATTGTGAAAATTAATAAACTTTTGACTATTTTTAAATTCAAAAAATGTCTAATCTTTTTTTTAATATATAAGTAATCCAACAATTGTAAATTATGAAAAAGAGAGAAGAAAAAAAAGTGAAATATAAAGTTTTTTTTTTTTTGTACATTGAAATGCGAGAAAGTTTTGAAAAAGAAAATTGGAGTTTCAAAGGATTGTACATTTCCTTTGTTAGAGAACTATAAGAAAAAAAAAGGTCGATATCACTTTTCCTGCTTTTCATTTATACCTTTGGAGATTCGTTTAACATATTTTGTTGTTTTTTTCTTTTCGTTTTTTTTTTTTTTTGTAAAATTATTTTTTCCAGAAAACAGGAGATATTTACTTTATAGTCTCCTGCAAAACGAACACCTATCTTAATTTTAAAGCTTTTATAAAAGCCTGTAAAGTTTTATTAAAATCTGTAAACTGACAGGGTATCCAGATCCTTGTTATCCTGCGAGAGCTTTACGTCATACTCCCCAGGGCACTCTATTAGAGGTACACATGCGGAAAAATATTCAAAAAGAGAATAAGAAAATGGAATTTTATCGAATCCTTGACTTGAAGAAGAAGAAGAAATTTTTATTAAAGAAATTTTTTTTTTCTTATTGTCTTTATTTTAGTATACTTCAGTTTTCTTTTAATTTTAAAAATTCCTTTATAATATTTACATTGAAAAAAAAATGTTATTTAGTTCAAATAATAGATTACTTTAGGCCACTTTTTTCCTTCACCATAGTTTTTTTTTTATTTATTTATTTTTTAATATCAAATAAACGATACTAAAAATAAAAAGATATTGAAATTATTTTTATAAATTAAAAAAAAGATAGAACTAAATAAAATAGTACAGATTTTTATTAAATATCGAGCAATTGTGAATTTTTTTTTGTGTGTGCCATTTCAATAAGAAAAGCATTTTTGTGCCATTTGCAAATTTAGATTGGTTTTTCTTTGTGCGCCAAAGAGCTTTATATACGGATTTTGTATAATTTACGGGCAAACCTTTTTAATGATATTGGAACAAATAAAATGGGTTTAAAATTCGTTTCGTTTCTCAATTTGATATAAGTTACACTCAACTTCTATCCGAGGATGAAAAAGAAAAACCAATAAACGTATAAAGTTAACGATAGAAAATTTACGACTAACGCATAACACACATACATATATATATATATATATATATATATATATATATACGATTTTACATTTCTTTATTGTCTCAGTGTTGGTCGAAAATAACAGTGAATGTCTAGACAAAAGCGAAAACATATAAATGAAAAAAAAAACTTTTTCTTTAAAAATAGTTTTATGGAAAAAATTTTTACTTTTCTTTGCAAAAAAAAAATTGTTTTCAATTTAAAGGTTAAATATTTTTTTAATGGATTTTTAAATAAGTTTTTAACCTTTTTTTTTACAGGAAAAAAAAAATTCATTGAGAACAGCGAAAGAGGTTTCAGTAAAATAATTAAAATTTTAACTGAATTAAAATTTTTGCTATTTTGGTGAAAATTTTCGCTGTTCCACACAAATATTTTTTTTCTGTATTCATTTTTGGTTTTTTAATTTATAGAAATGTGTTTTTTTTATATTTAATAAATAAAATTGTTTTCATTAAATTAAAATTTTTTTCTCTTCAAATTAGAAAAGACATTTTTTTTTTAAGTTTTTTTTTTTATTCTGCCCTGAAATGTATTTTTGAGATTAAAAATTATTTTTAAAAACCCTTTGACGATTATATAGTAAAAGATCCTTGAATAGAGAAAGAAAGAGAGTTGAGCAAAAGAGGGAAATTTGAAAAGATATATATTAGATTCTTGAGATAGACGATTTCTACAGATTTAATCAAACTTATTGGATACAATCGGATGCATATAAAGAATTATGACACAAAATAATTAGACTTCACTTTTTATTATTATATTCAAATAGCTCTTGTATCGGCATTTATTAATGAAGTACATTGACCTAATTGTAAAACCACCTCACTTAGTAATGTGAGGAGGATAAACAGCTTCTCATATATAAATTAAGTCAAAGTTAACTCTTATTCAAAAATAAATAAACAACTTTCTACTCCCTTTAATTATAAAATTAAAACCCCCTTTAATGCATTTTTACCCAACGGGCTTTTATATAATATTTTCAGATTTTACCATTTTTTTTTTTGTTACTTTTTTTTATTTCTTGTCAAAATTTAATTTAATTTTTGTAAATTAATTAAAATTTTTTCTTTTTTAAATTAATTACATTTTTTTCTATTAAATTAAATCCTATAAAAAATTTTTAATTTTATATAATTTAATCTTTAAATTATTATTTCTAAATTACATAATCCAGTATAAATACTGAATTATTTTTAATCCAAGAGCTTATATTTCCCTATAATCTTGAATTAAATTTGTTTAAATAATTTTATGTTTTTTTAATTAATAAATTACTTTTAATCCTAAAAGGGATTTAATGTTTAAACTATAATTTACTTCAATGATATTTTTTTATTAATTTATTTAATTAGGACAACACTATGTATTGAAATAACATTTTTTTTTTTTATTATAAATGAATCAGAAATTTACTCAAAGGGAAATTGTTTTTTTTTCCTGATTATAGTTGCCTCTATATAATTTTTTTTTTCTCTCACTTATTTGCAATCAAGCTTTAGATGTATATATTTGAAAGTTCATATTTTTTAAACATAAAATATTATTTTATCAGTTGAATCACATAAAATTGGTAATTTTTTTGTTATTCACCGTATAGATAAAAGCGTCAACCGTAAAATATAAATTGTAGTTTATTATAATATAGATCTGATCAAATGACACGATTCTACAGAAACTGTTTTATTTTTATATATAAAAAAAAAAAAAAATTGTCCACCTTAAAATTTTTTCCCGATGAAAAAAAAATAGTAAATTTTTTTATTATTATTATTTTTGATTTTCATTTATTTGATTACAGTTATTCATGATTGATAACTGCGCGGATGACTGGCGGATCGCGATGACCTGGCAACGAATATCGCAAATCGCATTAGAATTAGGCATCTGCGCAATTCATCCAATTCCAGGTGAATATTATTTCATATGGACAACAAAATTGGTGAACAAAGGCGGTGAGATGGGCTCAAAATTGGTGCCATATGATGTCACCTTATCTCTTCCTATGTTCCTGAGACTATACCTCATCTGTCGAGTAATGCTTTTACACTCGAAATTGTTCACCGATGCCTCGTCAAGAAGTATAGGAGCCTTAAATCGCATCAATTTTAATACGAGGTTTGTTTTAAAAACCCTCATGACCATTTGCCCGGGAACTGTTCTACTCGTCTTAATGGTGTCCCTTTGGATCATCGCCTCATGGACATTGAGGCAATGTGAAAGGTAATTAATTGTTTTATTTATTTTTCAAATTTTTTAAATTATACCAAATTTCTTTTGCGCATGAATTTTCTATAAAAATTAATGAATTTAGAAATTTTATTTTCAAAAATTTTATTTGATACACCTAATTATTTTCTAGATAAATTTTCATTTTTCAAATTATATAGAATTTCTTTTTAAACGAATTTTTCTTTGACAAAATTTTTATTCAATAGATTTTTAATTGATTCCAATTTTTAAATACCAGAATTTCCAGTTTATCCGAATTTTTATTTGCACGAATTTTTATTTGATATTTAGAATTTTTAAAACGGCGAATTTCAATTATTTGGCTCGATTTTTAAAATTGACCAATCAGAAATAATCAAGAAAATTGTGATTGTTTAATTTTAAAATTCGCGCCAAAATCTTTCTTTCAATTATTTGTCGGACATTTGCAATTTCGGACAAATGGAAATTCGGTGTTATAAGGAAGAATCAGATAAAAAATCGGAACAAAAGTTAGTCGAAATGTGTATTTTTATATTTTTAAGTCAATTAAATCGCATTTGTTTAAAATACTTAAATTATTGAAATTCAATTTATTTAATTGAAATAAAAATTATTTCGTTCAAGTAAATATTTATTTGATAATAGTCAAGTAACCAATTATTTGAATCAAATAAATTTTTTTGTTCTGTGTAGATTACAGAAAAATAATTGCTAATTAAAATAAAAAAAAAAAAAAAAATAACAAACTGAAAAAAATATAAAAACTGAATTACATCAATTATTAATCAATCATTTTACAAAGTAATCAATTAATTAAGTAACTAAAGATAATATGATGCGTACATTTTAAGTATAAAAAGTTACTTGCAAACAAAACAAAAAAAAAATCTTGACTTTAATAGACTAAGTTTACTTCATAAATCAACACTTCGAGTGTATCTATAACAAGAATTCAAACCTGTTGTTAGAAAATGAGCTTAGTATATGCAAAATATTTATGCATAAAGTTTATAATTGACTTGAATATTGGGAGAGGGAGAATTTTATTTACAAAATGGTCTTTAAAATTATTAACAGGTAAATTTTTTTTTTTTTTTATTAAAAAAAAATCTATATAAATAATTAAAATAAAAGTTTCTGATTGACTTTTTTCATATCCTGTTGCATTAGACTTAGATCATAACTCATACAGTCAACTATTAGATATATACCGAAGGTCTTTGTTTATATCATGAATGTACTTCCACTGGAATCTCATAGTCTTGACTTCCTTATTAACGTTCTATGGAATTCTGCTTCGTTGCGATATTAACTTACAGTTTAATTGTTGGCAACAAGCTATATCCAATTAACTGACATTTCTGACAAATTTTCTAATTTTCTATTGATAAACAAATTTCTAATCGCATAATTATAATTTCTAAATATAAAATAATTTTTTCGTTCAACTTAATTTGAAATATTTATAATAAACATTTAATTTTAATTAATTTTTATTGAATTAATAATTTTTTAATTTTTTTTATGCTAATTTTAATTAAATATGTAATTTCAATTATAATGTAATAACATACATTCTCTCAATTTTATTATTATTATTATATCAATTTACCTATTTATTTTTATTAATTATATTATTTTTTCAAATTCGAAACATAATACATAGTTTTCAAAATTTATCGATTTATACGCGGCTTACTTAATTTACAGTAATAAAGAAGATTTTATGAAATTTATTTTTATATATATTTTTTCAAGAAATAAAATTTGATAAGTGAAAAGTATATAAAATTTATTTGTCGATACAGTAAAGTATGAAATCATAACTTGAACTCTGAATGACAGCATTTTGATTACTCAATATAGTATATAGTGGTATTTATCCGTTTGCATGTTTTGCCCATGTTCGCTTTTGTCATTGATGAATTTGCGTTTCAAACATGAAATTTCAAATGGGCAATATTTCAAAATGAAAATGCAATTAAAATCCGATATTTAATATATATAACCGAGAGGTACATTGACAAATTTTCCGCACGTAAATGTACAAGACGAAATATTATAATAAATTAGATTTTAATATTTATTCAAAAAAAAAAAAAAAAAAAAAATGATTTTCTAGAGGAAAAATTTTTTGTTTGTTAATTAAATTCCATGTGAAAATTTAATAATATGAACACATTATATGATCATTTATATTTTCACGAGAAAATTAGAAAATTTTTTTTTGATGAAATATTTCATTATGTCGAGAAATATATTTTCATTTATTCATATATATATATATAATTATTTTAATTATTTCAACGTGGCGCATGAATAATAATCAGATGCTGGGAAAATGTTTTAATGATTGCCATCAGTTAATTATCTCATTGCTGAATCTTTGCCAAGAAAATAAACTTGCATCAATTCACGTTTATTAAACACCTCTGGGTAAAAGAAGTTTATCGTCGTTGAAAGTTAAATATAATTTAAATGCCGTTTGAATATAGTTCAATAAATAGAAAAAAAAAGTAGTAATTAATATATTTTTTTTAATTAAATTTTTAATAACAATTATTTTAAAAAATAAATTTTTTTCTTTTTATATTTTAGAAAAAACTTTTTTAAAATCTTGAAATTTCTTATTATGTATTTATTAAAGTAATTTGGATATTAGTATATAGTAAAAAAAATTGTAGTCAGGCTATAAAAAATTTAGGTTTTTTCTAATTTTAATATTACAAAAATTATTTATTATTTATATTTTAGTAAAATTAGAATTTAGTCAAATGGTTATTTCAATTTGACTATCAGTAGTAAAACCAATGCTCTAGTCAGACGTTCCAAATAATTGTAAAATTATATAAATTAACAATTATTATACTTATTTAACATGTTTCAAAATAATTCTATAACAATGTTTTTATATTCAAGACGTTCTGTTTTTAATTAAACTTTATCATAATTTAATGATTTACAGGTATTTGTAATTTTTTCTAATAAAAAACATAAAAATTATAACTCATCTTGGTTATGTCCAAAAGTATTTGAATTGAAAATTCGTTGTTAACAAATTTTTTTTTCTTAAATTTAACAGCGACAGGAAGATTTGTGAGGTCCTTAAAATATTAAATTTATGTTTATCTCCATTTTTTTTGAAAAATGGATTTATCAGATTTTGAAAATTTACTCCTCAATTGTAATGATAAATATTTATACTATTTTTTTTTTAACTTTTAGTACAACAGTAAATTTCAAAGCAAAATGAGAAAACAATGAAAGGATAAAGTTTATACCCTTTGTTTACCTCTTTAAACTTTAGCCGTCGTTCGAATTATTATTTTATAACCTTCATTAGAATCGAAAGTTTTCATATAAAAAACAAAATCACTTCTTGATTTATAAGGCACTCTGTTGGATTACAATTTTTGTGCTTTATCGCTTTTTCACTTTTTTTTCATGCGTCCTATTTCGTAAAATCTCTAATAAAAAAAAAAAAAAATTCTTCTTGTTATATTGCCATAAGAAAAATAAAATAAAAATACGCCTCTAAATTAAATTAACCATTAAATAGAATTTTTACACAAACTTGATTTATTCTCAATGAGAGAAAATTATCATAGCACCTCAATCGTAGAGAGAAGCTTATACATTGAAACTTATTCAATGTAAAACGATTCTGTTTATTTTAGCCCTGAAAATCACTCACCTTCAATAGACAAGGATGTGTGTTGGGTCGCCAAATCCAAGCAATCCCTATCGATTATTCGATACAACTGGTCGTCCTATTTTCCTTTGAACTGCATTTAATTCGTCTATGAGAAAAAAAAAAAAAATATATATATATATGTTTTTAAAAAATTTACATATATATATATCATAGTCGGAAATTAAAATTTTTTCGACACGGTAAATTTTTTAAATCATTCTTCATGTTACTTATTTACTAGACCGAAAAAAAGTTTATTCAGAAATAAAATTTTTTTTCAAAACAAAAGTTCAAATTCAAAAAAAAAAATTGTATTGAAAATTAAGTCTTATTTTTCAGTTTTTACCCAATTGGACAATTTTTTTTTTTAATATTTCCTTTTACAGCTAAAAATTTAAATTGTTTTAACTTTAACAAAAAAAAAATTTTTTTTTGTCTATTATTTTTAGAAACTTATTTTGATATTACAAGAAGTAAAAAAAAAACGTTTTATTATTAAAAATAAATTACTTTTTGAAAATTTTAGTTGATTCGTTTGAGAAATTTTGACCCAGTATTTTATTGGAAAAAATCTCAGCCAAATGTCCAGCAATAATTGGATTATTGAATGAAACGTAATAGATAAGAAATATTTGTAAATATAAAATACCACAAATATACATTTTCTATATAAATATCAAAATTCTGAAAAAATGTCGTTTCGCCCCAATTGATAAAAATTAGATTATTTCTTGTTGTTGAAAAATTTTAAAAATCAAAGAATATAAACAATTTTAAAAATGAAATTTTATAATCATATACAAATTACAAAAAATTTAGTAAATCATTGTTCGCATAAAATTCTAATAAAATTCATTTTTAAAAAACTTTCATATATAATGTAAATGTCTCTTTTATATACCCTTCATTTTTATCGTGAGGAACATTTACAAAGTTTTTATTACACCTTTATTGTTTGCCACAAGAAATTTTTTTTTGGTTATTATACGGGGATTAATGTTGAAAAATTTCTTTTTCAAGAATATTAAAAAATAAATGAATGTTCCATAAAAAAAAAAGAAAAAAAATATCAAGTCTAAAAATCATCATTAGAGGGACGCTTCGATCTTAAATCTTTTTTTCCCCGTTTTTTTTTTTTTTTTTTATATAATATCTTGCGGAGGAGTTTGGGCACTTAAAAATGAATTATCGAGACGGGGTGTCTAAAAGTACGAAAGCGGTGAACTACATTTTTTAAAGGAAGTTACCACCTTCTCCTTTCTCCGCAAAGTGAGATAAAATAGATTACTGATATTTGACGTATGTGTATGTGTAA